CTTCCACCAATCCTGATGCCACAATTCTCCTCATAGAGCCCAGCCTCTCGAATAATCTGCTCTGCATACATGTTGAAAAGGTATGGAGACATATCCTCTATAAATAGCATAAAGGGGGGGGAAGTGTTTTCTCCGTCCTTACATTGATAAGGTTTTTTTTTTCTTCTAAAGTATAATTTATTTTTTTCTTGCGTGTGGGTAAAGAATAATTTAAGCATTACATAGACCAGCTGGTATTTGGAAATGCTGTGGTTTAATGGGGCAGCTGGTGATACAGTAATGCTATGCTTCAATTAAGAACATTTTGCAGAGTTTATTAGGTTTTCAGTAAGAATTCTCTAAATAATTAATTACTTAAGGAATGCTAATTTGTGCTTAAAGTATAATTCTGTTACTGATAATTCATTTTGTGTACACATGACATTCACCAGACTCCAGAGAACCACTTGTGATTATAAAACTTGCCACTTCATACAATAAAAATATCTCTTTCAGTCAGAACACAGTATTTTCCACTTTATTATTTCCTTCAGTACTTCCATAACTTATATGGGTTAAAATGTTGCTTTCAGTTTTATTTTTCAACAAAGATCCTAAAACCAATGTTTGGAGTAAGACACGGTTATCATGTATAGCTATTAGAAAACAACCATTTAAAGTTTGCTTAGTTTCATACAATGTTATTGTTTGCTGTTGAGTTGGAACTGATTCATAGCTAATCCTACAGCAGGTTTTCAGAGGCTGTAAATCACACAGGAAGAGAATGCCCCTCTGAATCCCATGTAGTAGCTAGTAGATTTTGAACTGCCTGCCTTTGGGTTAGCAACACTACTTGTTACTCACTAAGGCCACCAAGCACCATATCTATATGACAGAACTCACATTTTATTAAAATGTGAATATCAACAATAATAAAGCAAATAAGTTACTCAACATATAAAAGACTTATGTATCATTTTGTAATTGGATTATCCTTTTCTTCTGGAGGCCCTGTAGGATTCTGTAAACTTTCATTTTGAGACCCTGTCTGAGATGGTATTGCCAAATGTTTGTTCTGAGTCAGTAAGTTTTCTTTTCACCCTGTTGGAAAAAGGTTTTGGTGTACACAGCGATTTAATATTTAGAAAGTCCTATTCATATATTTTATCCTCTTCAGAGTGTGCATTTCTGGCTGTAATTGGCAGTCCCTTTATACTGTAGACTAGGTCTTCTAAGCTTGGTCCTAGCTTGGTCTCTTATGAATTTATGGTTTGGGGCTTTATTCCCAGGTCTCTGACCCACCTTGAGTTGATTTTTGTGAATGGTGTGAGATGTGGATCCTGTTTCAGGTTTCTGCAATTAGCATTCTAGTTTTGTCAGCACCATTTGTTGAAGAAGTTATAATTTCCCCATATGATAGGTAATTCCTTGTCAAGTATCACTTGACCGAAGATAGATTGGTCCATTTTGGATTCTCCATTCAGTTCTATTGGTCTATGTGCCTGTCTTTGTACCCATATCATGTTGTTTTAGTTACTACTTCTGTGGAGTAGGTTTTGAGGTCTAGGAATGCTATGCCTCCCACTTTATTTTTGTTTTTAAGAAATGCTTTACTTATTCTGGGTCTCTTTCCACTCCATACAAACCTGACAATTTCCCTTTCATTCTCCTTGAAAAATGAATTTGTTATCTGTATTGGGATTTAAACATGTGGATTGCTTTTGGTAGGACGGTCATGTTCACTATATTGAGTCTTTCTATTCATGAACAGGGAGCTTTTGCCCATTTCTTTAGGTCATCTATTGTGTCTTGCAAAAACATTCTGTAGTTTTCTTTATATAGGTCTTTTGTTTCTCTAGTTAGGTTCAATCCCAAGAATCTCATTTTGTGGGTGGCTATAGTAAATGGTATTAGTTGTTTTCCTTATCTGAGTTGCCTTTGTTACTGTAGGGGAACCCTACTGATTTTTAGATATTCATCTTATATACTGCCACCCCACTAGGGTGATCTACAAGCTTTAATTTTTTTTTTGTTGTTGTTGAGTCCTTGGGGTTTTCTCTGTATATCATCGGTATATAGTGATAGTTTAATTATCTCTTTGCAGATTAGGAATTTTTTTTTAAAAATTTCCTTCTTTTCTTGATTATCCTAGCATGTACTTCCAACACAATACTGAACAGAAGTGGTGACAGTGGGCATTATAGTCTGGTCCCTATTCACAAAGAAAATGGTTTTAGTCTTTCTCCATTGAGAACGATATTGACTCTTGATTTTGCATATATACATTTTGCTGAATGTCTTAATCAGGAAGGAGTGCTGGATTTTGTCAAATGCCTTTTCTGGGTCAATTGTTAGGATCACATGTTTCTTGTTATTTACTTTGTTTAAGTGATGCATTGCATTGATTGTTTTTCTTATGTTGAACCATCCTTGAATGCCTCTTATGAATTCCACTTGGTCATGATGAATTATTGGGTTG